CCTCCCTTCCACTCGGGAGAGGCCGCGGCCCGGCGAGGCCTCACTCCTTCCCTCACCGGGTTTGTTACCTTGTGTGGGGTTGGGGTCGGGGCGGCGGGAAGGGGTCGGGGCCAATGAGCCCAGGGGTGGTTGCGGCAACAGTAGCCGCAAGAAAAATCTCCCCGGCGACACGAAGGCGGCGACTCTGAAAAGAACTCGGTCGGCGGTAAGGGGGAGGGGAGGGAAGCCCGGCACTGGGAGGAGGAAAGACAGAGGCGGGTGAAACTTCGCGAGAGTTAAAAGCCATCGCGAGACACCGCTCGAGTCACGTGACTCGTAACGCCCAATAGGCCGCCAGCCCTTACTTGCGTTAGGGACGCAGAGTGGGCGGGGTTTAATGGGACGGAAATTGCGTCGCTGGACGGCGCCTGGCGCTGAGTGCAGGTTCGTCTTTCCAGTTCCGGCTGGGCGTCGGGGCGTCGTGGGCTTCTTTTGGGACTGGGTGTCGGCGTCCTGCTTGAGGTTCCCTGGGTATTCATGGCGCGTACCGCCTTCGGCGAGCAGCGCTGGGGGGTGGGAGAAACGGGGTTTAATGCAGCAATCGCACTAGTAGTTGCTTCTCCAAGTGTGGTCGTCCGCTCAAGTTTGAGAACCACCGCTTTTTATAATCATGAAAACCTAAGTCGTAACAACAAAAAACTAAATTGTGGCCGAACCTATTGGAGATGTATTTATTTTAAACCTATTTTGTTAGAACAGATGTGTTTTAAATTCATTATATGGGTTCTATCTCGCTTGGTAGAGAACAATCTCCAAGTTTAGTCTTGAGTGGTAAACGGTGGTGTGACCGCTTTGATTTATGTTTAAAAAGGAATGTGGCCTGTCCCGCCGGCGTGCTCCTTAGTTGAGTGTCGACCTGTGAACAGGAGGAGGGTCAGGGCACCTGCCAGGTTGTGGGCTTGATCCCTAGTGTGGGGAGTGTAGCAGGCAGCTAATCAATGATTCTCTCTCATTAATATTTATCTCTCTCCCTCCCTCTCCCTTCCTCTCTGAAATCAATAAAAATGTTGTTGTTGTTGTGTGTGTGTGTGTGTGTGTGTGTGTGTGTTTTTTAAGGAATGTGGCCCTAGCCAGTTTGGCTCTGGATAGAGCATCAGTCTGCGGACTGAAGGGTCGCGGGTTCCATACCCATCAAAGGCGCGTGTGCCCTGGTTTCAGGCTCGGTCCCTAGCCTGTCTGGGGCGTGGGGGAGGCAACAAATCAATGTCTCTCTCTCACATCGATGTTTCTCTCTGTGTCTCTCCCCTCCCTTCCACTCTCCAAAAATTAATAGCAAAAGATTCTCGAGTGAGGGTTAACAATGGAAAATATCCTCAGGTGAGGGTATGTGTTTGAAGCGGTTGTGTTTCTAATAGTATATGTTACTTCTGAATGGTTACAGGAGATTGGAGTGAAAGCCAGATGTTTTCACTGATTACCCCTTTTACTCTTTACCCTTTTTTTCTATACATATGTAACTTTTTTCCAGTTAAACTAGCTATAAAAAAAAAAGATAAAGACCCGTGACACAAAAAGGCCAGCAAAGAACTTTCTCTGGGAGGTTGGGGTCTGTTGCTAGAACCTTAAGGCCCTCTTCCCAGGTGGGCTAACTCTTTTGGTCTGTGGCATCTTTGCCTTAGTGTCTTCTTGGGGGTTTGTTTGTTTTAAAGGGATCTTCCCTTTTCTTCTCTACTTACACACACATATCCCTCGTATTGAGTCATAATCTACAGAGATGGCAATTTGTGGTGACTGGAGTGGCAATTTGCAGGAACTGGACATGCTGCAGGGGGCAGCAGCATGCAGCTAGTTTTAAGGAGGAAGACACACCAGAAAGGATGAACTTTTCCTTAATATATAGTAGAAGTTTGTTTAAAATACAGTGTAGTTTTTTTTTTTAATATATTTTATTGATTTTTTACAGAGAGGAAGGGAGAGAGATAGAGAGTTAGAAACATCGATGAGAGAGAAACATCGATCAGCCGCCTCCTGCACACTCCCCACTGGGGATGTGCCCGCAACCCAGGTACATGCCCTTGACCGGAATCGAACCTGGGACCTTTCAGTCCGCAGGCCGATGCTCTGTCCACTGAGCCAAACTGGTTTCGGCTACAGTGTAGTTTTTGACAACTGCTCTTATTCTAATTGTGTATTATTAAAATTAATGCCAGAAGGCTCTTCCTTCAATATAAAATAAACTTTGCAGTTGTGTAAAAATCTCTCAAGTAACAACTCTTCACAAATCTTCTAGATGAGAAAATAGGGGAATATTTATTATAAGCTCCAGTATAGATTTATTTCTCATCTGGATAGTTTTTGTTTTCAGGCTTGCTTTTAGTCTCTCCCTCTGTGCAACATAGGTTTTATTGGGGGGGGGGGCGGGGGGGGGGCTATCTTAAATTTTAGTTCCTCACAAAGAAATGGTAATAGTTGTATACATGGTGCCATTTTTACATGTATTTAATTTTCACAATGATTCTATGTGCTATTAAAGACATGATTCTATGTGCTATTAAAGATAAAACTGGAGCAAATATAAACTGATTTAAGAGTATTACTTCAAATAGGTGTTCTGTCTTCCCACTTCCTTTGAAGTATCAAAATCTACTTTCAGTGTCTGATTTTTAAAACATTCTCTTTCAACCTGGCCAGCGTGGCTCAGTGGTTGAGTGTCGACTTATGAACCAGGAGGTCAGGGTTTGATTCCTGTCAGGGTACAGGATCGAAGCAGGTTGAGGGCTCGATCCCCAGTGTGGGGTGTGCAGGAGACAGCGGATCAATGATTCTTTTTCATAATTTATGTTTATATTTCTGTCTCCCTCTCTGAAATCAATACAAATATATTTTTAAAAATTCTCATTCAAATTTAGTCATGTTTATTCTTCAAAAAGAGCAATCTAAAATCTCTAGTTCTTTAAACCTAGTATTTATTTTAGTGAAAGTCAGTAGTAAATAAAATGTAAAGACTCCAAAATTGTCATTAGAATATACTATTTCACTTTTACCTATCTTTCAAAGAAAACACTTAAACTGCTAAAATTAAACTATAGCAGTTGTCTTTGGAAATGTGCCAGTCCACTGCAGGGCACAATAAATTAATATAGTCCACGTCAGCGGTCGCCAACTGGTAGTCCACGGATCACTGGTGGTCCGTGAGGTCCGAAAGGTTGGCGCCAACTGGTTTAAGGAAACCTTTGGAGCAGCGGTCTGCCAACCAGTGGTCTGTGGACCGCTAGTGGTCCGTGAGGTCCGAAAGGTTGGCGACTGCTGGTCCATGTTGTATTCCTTCCGACTAAGCGTAGCCCCAGTTTTGCCCACATTTTTTTTGTTCCCTCAACAAATGCCTGAGGAGATGAATTAGAGATGTGTACACAGTCATAATTGCTTATGCTCTTTGCCCTCCTTAGTCATAATAGGTATTTTGAATGTTTGGATGGGGGTTTGCTGCAGGGTAAGCTACTGGCTTTTTGTGCTTACTGAATATTTGGGGGTCCAGTGCCTTGAAAACATATCCTTGGATGACTTACAGGACATCATTCACTTGAGGTTGATGGAAAAACAACCTTAAGTGGGTGCTGACCAATGCAGGTGCTCATCAGTCAAAGCATCCCTGCTTTGTTCACACAAGTCTGCATTGCCTTGCCAGTCTCAGGATGTGCATGCCCAGCTATTCTGTTTTAGGTGTCGCACTAACGAACAGAAAACTGCCACTGAAAACAGACAGCAAGGGTTCTTCCAGCTCAGAAAAGACTATGATCAGAGGCTTTACAAGGATCAGAAATGGCAGGGTCATTCACGGTTCTTTAGACCCTATATGAAAGTGGTGTTTAACAGTACTTTTACATACATTCTTTGTGGGGTATATTCTGAGGGCAAAAAGAACAAAAACAAACTCACGTCACAGATGTATTGCCAATAGTACTATTGATAATGTAATTTTGAAACTTTCATGTCTAGTATAGATGAAGTATATAATATATGTATGCTAGTTAAAACTCTTAAGAGGAAAGAAAAATAGAAAATAAAGAGTTTTGGGGGGGAAGCCCTCTAATGACATATATGATGTTATGTTACCCAGTGGAGAGTGCCCAATATCTTAATGTCTAGATACCATTGCCCACAAAAGAAACAGCATTTCTCCAAGAAGCGGTTGTTTTCAGGTCTCGGGCCCAGAAAATACAAAAGTGAGCCTGGAACATCTTGCCAGAAAGCAAGGAAGTGCTCCAAAACTAATAGGATCAAGTCAAAAGTTCACCAACCAGCTTGAGGGGACTCCATTAGCCAGATGTGAATCAATGAGTTTTAAAAGCATTAACGAATGCCATATATTATCAAAGCATTGAATATATTTTTAGAATCCATAAGTTCAAAGTGATAATCAAAATCGAAGGTGGGGGGACGGCTTTTTTTTCTTTCTAGAGGAGTGCCAGGCAATAAATGTAAATGGAATGATAGAATTGGAAAAATCACCATGTGCAGTCCCCAGTGATTTAGGCATAGGTTAGCCATAGAAGCTAAAACCCATCTTGTAAAAGGAGATAGGGAAAAGGAAGACGTTTACACAGTGTCAGTATCACCCCCACAGAGTACTTAGTAATTACAAAGGGGAATATACACCATATAATGAAGAAATTC